GAAAGAACTGGTGGAGTCTGAACGCAAATTGAAGCATACTTTTTCTTTACTTTCTTTATATTTCTTATTTTGTTTCTTTTTGTCTGGGTTTTTGTTTACAGTATGACTTACATGGAAATGTGTTTTGCATGACTACACATGTAAAACCTATGTCAAATTGCTTGCCTTCTCAATGAGGGGGGAAGGAAGAGAATTTGGGACTTAAAATTTGAAAAAAAAGAATGTTAAAATTGTTTTTACATGCAATTGGGGAAGAAATAAAATATTTAATAAAAAAAAATTGCTATCCACTGCCAGTGAAAGAAGTGATAGAGCTTGAATGCAAGTCAAAGCATACTTTTTAAAACTTTCTTTATTTTTCTTTTTTTTTTAATGCTTTTGGTCTGTTTTCTTTCACACTTGTCTAATATGGAAATGTTTTTCATGGCTGCACATGTATAATCTATATCAAATTACTTGCCTTCTCAAGGAGGGGGAGGAAAGGGAGAGAGAGAGAGAATTTGGAACTCAAAATTAAAAATGTTTTAAATATTTAAAATTGTTTTTATATGTAATTGGAAAAAATAAAATTTAAAAATTAAAGAAAAGAAAAGAAAAGAAAAAGGAAGCTAGCCCTTAGCTCTAACCCAAGCATTTAGGCTAACAAAATATTGCTATAGGACTTATCTGTTCTTAGCAATGAAAGGATCTAAGACAACTCCAAAAGACTCATGATGAAAAATGCTATCCACATCTGGAAAAAGAACTATGGAATCTGAATGCAGATCGAAGCATATTTGCTTTTTCTCTCTTTTTTTCTTTTTTCTTGTGGTTGCTCCCATTGGTTCTAATTCTTCTTTACAACTGACTAATGTGAAAATAGGTTTAATATGAATGTATATGTTGAGCCTATATCAATTTACATGCTATCTTGGGGTGGGGGGAGGGGAGAGATGGGGAGAAAATTTGGAACTCACTATCTTATGGAAGTGGTTGTTGAAAACTAAAAATAAATAAATTTATTAATTAAAAATATTGCTGTAGGACAGGCTGTATTTAACCTAATCCAAATCAATCCATAATCAATCAACAAACATTTATTAAGTGCCTACTATGTGTCAGGCACTGTGCTCAGCACTGGAGATACAAAAAGAGGCAAAAGATAGACACTGCAGAACTTATAAACAATCAAGAAAACCCTTCCATCTTCAATAAGCCCTGCTTTCTCCAGGAGGCCATATAGTTATTTCAGAATTATTGCATCATTCTGGACTGAAGTCTTCCCAAGTAGAGAAAGATTATGGTTTGCTAGAGAGCCAACTCTTTCCATAGACCTACATGGTCCACATAACTCAGAGTAAGAGTGAGGTCAGTCTATATGTTTATTCTTCATCCTAGCTTTGTGCCCATTGGCATTCCCTGCTTATACCCAGTCCTTGATTTAGTCTAGGATTTCTATGCTTTGTCCAGGACATTCTCCACTGCTCTACAACTGCTGTGCAATGTATTTTCCCGAGTTTGCTTCTACCCGAAAAAGCAACAGTCCACCATCTGCCAAAAAATATTAAGGGATATTTCAAAAGTACTCTCCTGCAATTAAAAGTACACAGAAATAAGTTATTTACTAGTATTATTGTTAGAAAGATGAGAAAGTCTTCTTTAAAAGTTTATGATTCCTGATAAATCTCTCGACATAATAATGACAACTCTAGTGGCTTTTTGTTTTGTTTTGTTTTTTTCCTGCTAGGTAGCCTGGGGATAGAGTACTGGGCCTGGAATTAGGAAGACCTGGAGGTTAATTCAACCTCAGACATTACTGAACTGAGTGACTCTGGGCAAGTCACTTTACCTCTGTTTGCCTCAGTTTCCTCATCTGTAAAAGGGGGATGATAACAGCACCTTCCTCACAGGGTTGTTGTGAGGATCAAATGAGATATTTCTAAAATGCTTAGCACAGCAGTTGGCATACAGTAGGTGCTTAATAAATGCTTGTACCCTTTTTTTGCATGTAATGCCATAATGACACTTTCTCTGGGTGTCATTGTTAAAGTATAACTCTATGTTCAGATAAGCATTTTTCATTTGCCTCAAATAATCATTAATCTAAAGTGCATATATTCATTAAGTAAAAAATCTGGGACAGTAGTAAGATAATCACTTTAAAAAATTAATTCCAATAGATACGCTAAACACATTGAGTCTGGTTAATTAAACAGTTTGATCAGGAATAGAGTGCCATGCCTGGAGTCCTAAAGACTCATCTTTCTGAGTTCAAATTTGGCCTCAGACACTTACTAGCTGCATGACCCTGGGCAAGTCACTTCACTCTGTTTGTCTCAGTTTCTCATCTGTAAAAGGAGCTGGGGAAGGAATTGGCAATCGGTTTCTTTGCCAAGAAAATCCCAAATAGAGTCACAAAGAGTTGAACTAAAGAAATGACTAAACAACAACAATGTAGGTTTATGACATACTTTGATAAAAATAAATTCTAACTTTCCTCATTTAATTTCTATATTCAATCCCGTTTTTTGAGTTTGTCATGAATGAAGATGACTGAACTGCCCATTTTAAGTTGATGTGTTACAATATAGTACTTCTCCTTCAATATTTTTGTGATCTACGTAAAAATTCCTAAACTGTTTTAGAAAGAAGAAAAACTTATTTTCAAATAATTGTTTATCCCATACATAAAGGATTAGAATACCTAAAAAAAAAATAGCTGGTATTTCTACAGTACTTCATCATTTACAAAGTACTGTGTATTTATCTCTGATCCTCACAATAAGCCTTTTGGGTAGATAATTTTACAGATAGAGAAATTGAGAATAGCAGGTTAAATGACTTGTCCAGGGTTAAATAGCTAGTAAGTGTTTGAGGTAAGATTTGAACTCAGGAATTATTTAAGTTTAAGTCCCATCCTCTACCCATTGTGACAACCAGTATATATGTATGTCATCACTATAAATAAACAAGTTCTATTTAAGAGTTAAATATTAGCTTCATAAAATCTAAAGTGACGATGAATGGTAATTTGGCAATTCAGTTTGGGCTAGGTTGTGTAAGTAATTGTGGATGCTTTTACAGGCAGTTTCTTAGAAAGTTGAGTCTTTAGGATTATTTTGATAAATGTATACAGAATCAATAGTTCCTTTACTATTTATGAGTGAATGAGATCAGTTAGATCCTTCCTGAAGGAATGCCAGGATTATTTTTAAATAAATGTTTTATTGGTGCCTTTTGTTGCTTATGGTAGTCATTTACCAAGAGGACCTCAATGAACCCATTCCTTGTAACGAAGAAAAAACAGATTAAAAAAAAAACAAAAAACAAAAACAAATGATAAAGCAACCATATGCAATATCATATCAGCATTATCTTCTGTCTAAAAAACCCCCATAACATCTTGTGAATGTATCCTTCTTACTTGGGGCAACTTTAATCTCTACTATCACGATTTCTGAAACTCCCGGACGTTTTGCTTCAATAAAGGCAGCAGAATAGGCCCTTGGCAACTACTTTAGTGAAAAGCTAGATTTTTATATAGTGATAGAAACTCTAAAATTGCTACACTAAAATGAAACGCTGGATGAACTGAGGTTTGGGGCCTTTGGTCCGGTGAAGTAATGTAGTATATCTCACTGGTTAGCAGACTTTTGGAAGTATTGCTACTGAATCTTCATTTTGTAATAAATACTCTTAACTGCCGGTTATAAAAATAATAGCTCACATTTATGTAGCCTATAGATCTCTATAATTGTAATAACTGATTTATATAGCCACTTTATGTCATATAAAAGTGCCTTTTTAAAAACAGCATTGTGAGGTTAAGTAGTGCAAATATTATTATGTCAAAATTTCAGATAAGTAACCTGAGGCTCAGAGAGCCTTATTTGCTCACTTATATAGTAAGTATCAGAGCAGGACCCCTTCCTACTCAGGCTTTCTGATTTACACTTCTTAGTTATTTCTTTGATCTACCCATCACAGCAGCTTTTCCCAAATCTTTTAATCAATTCTCAAATCTCCCATATTTCTTCTTTCCCTTCTCCTCTCAGATGAGAACCTTGCCTCATATTTCAGTGAAAAAGTGAGGCCATTCACCAAGCACTCCCTCTTCTCTCCAACACTTCACCTCACATCACTCAAATGCCTTCTGCTGCTATCTCCTCCTTCATCCCACCTTCACACAAAGTGGCCCTTCTCCTTGCCTTCTTCCACCTGCACAAGTGATTCTCCCATTATCTCTAGCCTATTAACCCCCTCGATGTCCCTACAGTCTCACTAATCTTTCCCACTCCCTCCCTCTCTCCCCCTCCCTTCCTCTGTCTCTCTCCCTTTCTACCTCCCTCCCTCTCCTTCCCTTTCTCTTCTTCTCTCCCCCTCCCTCTCTCTTCTTCTTTCTCTCTCCCCTTCCTCTCTTTTCCTCCTCCCTTTCTCTTTCCTTCTCTCCCCCTTCCTCCTCTTTGTCCCTCCCTCTCTTTCCTTCTCTCCCCTTCCCTCTCTTTCTCTCTTTCCCTCCCTCTCTCTCCTTTTCTCTCCCTCCCTCTCTCCCCTTTCCTTTCTTTACTTCTCTCCCTCTCCCTTTCTTTTTCCTTCTCTCCCCCTCTTCCTCCCTCTCTCCCCCTTCTCTTTTCTTCTCTCCTTCTTTCCCTCCCTCCTCTTCTCCTCCTCCTTCCTTTTCTCTCTCCTTCCCTCTCCCTCTGCCCCTCCCTCCCTCTATCTCGCCCTTCCTCCTGTCCTCCCTCTCTCTTTCCTCCCTCTTTCCTTCCCTTTCTCTATCCGCTGACTGTACAGCACTGCCTCTCAGCAGTCAAGTAGTATCCTCAGTTTCCGCTCTGTAAAACGAGGAAGTGAGATCAATATCCCAGACTCCCTGCCAGGTCTAACATTCTAGTACCCTCATGAGCCACTTAAAAAAAAAAAAAAAAGGAAGGGTTCTTTAAGATGCACGCATGCGCAAGTCTCTCCACTTCCTTTTCCCTGGAACTCACCGGCTGGGGTCGTCAGGGGTCACGTGAGCGCAGCAGCAGGCTCTTTGCGGCTGAGCCTATGGGAGCTCGGGGAAACGGGGCTCGTGTCACGTGATCGTCCAGCCAGGTTTCCCTGCGCTGTTGAGGGGAAATGGAGGCGGAAGAGGACCTGTCACTGCGGGGGCTGGAGAAGCTGCCCGCGGAGCTCGGGCCCAAGGTGAGGCGAAGAAGGCAGTGCACCGCCGGACTTCCCGTCGCGCCCCCCGCCATTGCCCTTCTTTTTCTCTCCGGTAGGGAAGTGAAGGGGGAGCGCGGAGGAGCGGGAAGCCGAGGAGGCCCGAGCTCGGGGTTTGCTGAGCTCGGCGCCCGCCCCGCCCCCTGCCCCTCCTCGTACTCCCGAGCTTGGTGGCGAACTGTCATAACCAAGGGGCCCATGTTTTACCAACCAAATATTAGGTTGGGTCTGGCAAGGAATATTCTTTTAGCAAAAGTTTTTCGTTTTTGTTTTGCAAAGTACAGTTTTTTTTTTCTTGAAATGAGCTTGCCCAGGAGGGGTTGAATCAGCTAACTCGTAAAGTTAGAAGTCTCTTCTGAGCCCTGTGATTCTCTGAAATGTTGCTGTAGTCACATACATTGGATTTTTGGTAAAGGAGTACTCTTGTCTGCTGGATCCTGAAATTATAATTGCTAACCCCATAGGTGTCCCAATATCAATCCTCTCTTTTTCTCTTCATCATTTGTAACAAGATAGCTGCTGTGTATTTCACTAGGTACAGATATGGATATATGTAGTCAAAAATATTTTGTGAACCAGTGGTGCTTTCCTAGTTTTGAAGGGATTGGGGAGGAGAACGGGGCCACTTTTTTGTTATTTTGATTGGGTTCTTGGTAGTGACAGCCTTTATGCTCTGGCTTCTTACATCTGGCACATATACAATTGGTTTTAACTTGTAAATGCCTGGTGTAAAAGAGCATAAAGGAATTGGATTTAACTTTGGTCATTTGGGGAGCAGATGTGGATGTTGACACAATGGACAATGTAGATAGGAGTTTACAGATCTTTGAAAGCAAAGAGAATGAAGAAGTGGTTTGAATTTGATAGTTAATTATGAGTTACTGTAAGACTTTATCTCTAAAAAGGAATCTTTTATAAAAAGAAGATACTTTGGTAAAGCAGCCCTATACTTTGTAGGAAAAGACCCGAAATGAATTTCATATATATTTCACCTACCTTTCAGGTTTTGAGATAAATAACATTTCTAGAATGTTTGAAACATTTGAATAACTTTTCAGTAAACCAGTTATATGAAAATGCTTAGATTTTGAATTGTTATAACATTATTAGTGCTTTTGTTAGAATATGTGAGCGCTATAGTAAAAGCAAATATACTAATTGAATTTAATGAAATAATTCCCTCCTCTTTACAGCTTCTTCACAAAGTAATTGATGGCATTTGTGGCCGTACTTATCCTCAGTTTAAGGATTATGAAAATATTTGGGATTCAGCAGAGTGGATTAATGTTCTGGAAGATCTTTCCAAATTTTTCAAAACTGTCATTGGTAAAAATAGAGATTTTGAAAAGGTAATCACACCTCAAATTAGTCTTTTGGTAATTAGCATCTTAGATTTTTGTTGGCTGAATTCTAGAAAAATTTATGATACACTGTGATACCTATGCCATTCTTGATGCATGTTTGTGACATAGCAAAATCTCATGAATTCAGTGTAATTAGGAATGCTATTCTGATAATAAAATTTTGAATGATAAAGTATTTAAAAATAAATACCTCTACTAGTTTTTCAGTAGCTTAGGATGTAGTTCTTCTAGGTTAGAATACTTGAACATCAACTAGATGGTCTCTTACTGTCTCTCTCTCTTTTTTTTCTTTTTTAAGGCAATTGGGTTTAAGTGACTTGCCCAGGGTCACACAGCTAGTAAGTGTCAAGTGTTTGGTCTTAGGGCAGATTTGAACTTAGGTCCTCTTGACTTCCCAGGGCTGGTGCTCTATTCACTGGGCCACCTAGCTGCCCCGTCTTACTGTCTCTTTATTTGACTTAGGAAGATCTTCCTTGTTAGAGAAAATGTCAGCCAAAGGAGAGTTGAATAGCTCTGCCTTCTTTGTTAGTTATCATTGCCCTATCCCCATGGAGGAGTAGGCCTATTCCTTCTTTGAGCCTCCTCCCTTCCCCAATATAGGTTTAAAAAAAAAGGAAGAAAGAAAACCTTTTTGTTATCTTTACTTTTCTCCATCAGCCTTAGCTCATTCTTAGCTTTAGTACTTCTGATACTATTCTTACAGGTTCATAATACAAGATATAAGGTATCTGTTATTATCATTGTTTTATATATAGCCAATTTCCTCTACTAGATTGGAATCTCCTTGAGGGTGATGAGTATGTGTTATTCCTTTTCTATCCCCTAAAGCACGTAATATAAGGTTTATAAGAAGTATGTGCTCAGGAAATGTTTAATCATATTTATTTCTTAGTTTATTGGTTCATAAACTGTCCCCAGCTCGAAAGCATTTTGGAATAGTGCTCAAACTTGGCTATTGCTTATTGAGTTTTTGATACCAGCGGATGAAGCAATGGGAGGCAGCCACTTTGCCAGAACTTGGAATTTTCACACATTCTACCTAGGTTTAATTTTCATGTGTTTAGGATTTTACTGGGAGGGCAACTAGATGAAAACAAATGGATTATAGTAGTTAGAGCTAGAAAGATCCTTTGTGGTCATCTGAATCAACCCCCTCATTTTATAGAGGTTGTAACTTTCCTAAGGGCACACAGGTAGTAAATAGCAGATCTAGGATTTAATCTCAGGTCCTCTCATTACAAATCCTGTGTTCTTTGAACTTGAGACAGAAACTTGAAGAACAAAAATTTTTATGTTTTCTAATTGGCTGGTTGTGACTCCTTCATTTGCAAATTTGAACATCCTGGATATGGGATAAACTTTTATTTCTAAAAACTACCAGGAAAGATAAATTTTGAAAATATCAGCCAGAATTATTCTGATTATGTTTTATTGACCATGCAAACTATGTTGTTTTATTTTGCCTTTAAATGCATGTTCTATTTTTAAAAACAGAAAAACTTTTTTTTTTAAATTTCAAAGGTGATTGAGCAATTGAATCACTTAAGCTCTGATCATCAGAAAACAATCATGAAGTGTTTGAAAAGCCGGAAAGATGAAATTAGGAAAGCTCTCTTAGGAGAAATAATTGCCATTTCCTCTGCTCAGTTACAGGATTTTGATTGGCAGTTAAAGGTAAGAGTATATAATTGGGATTGTATGTTGAAATCATGTTTTGATCACTTAAAACTTCAGTAAAATTGCTCTTTTTTCCTTTTTTGATGCGTATCTAAAGTGTATTATTTTTAGAATCTGTTTAGGTAAAATAATTTTCTGAAATCTATTATCTTTTAAGCCTTAAATAGAAGTATGTAATTACATTGAAATAGTCAAACACATGTATTGAGCTCCTAACTCAAAACAAAACAGCATGAGTTAGATTACTAAAATACTTATGCCTCATAAATATTATGGAAGTGGTATATGATTTGTTCTTCTAGGGAGTAGTTCTAAGCAACTATCCTTAATGTGGATGTTTTCTAAGATTCTGCCCTTGGCATTTTTCTCTTTATATATCTTCTCTCTGGCAATGGCTGAACTCTTAACTTTATGTATGTGCTTTCTAAATCTACATCACTAGCTTTAGCTTCCCTTCTGAGTCACATCCTACATCTTCAGCTGCCTATATAGGACATATCCACCTGATTGTCTGTCTGGCACCTCATACTCAACATGGCTAAAACATTATCTTTTCTTCTAAACTTATCATTATCTTTCCCTCTAAACCTGTTGTTCTTGGTTTCCTTCTGTGGCGTCACTATTGATTCAACACCTTGTGCTCAAAATTACTTTTCTTTCTCTGTCCTCTTTTATCTGAGGAAGGAATTTAAGGCCCAACAACCAGATTGGAATTTGTCTCCAAACATTACTTGTGTTTAACCTCCATGGCTCCCCACTTTTTTCCTATCTTTGGAATGCTTTTTCTTCCCACTTGCTTGAAATGGGCAGAATTTAAGTACTTGTGACTATTATGGTTTGTTTTTTGAGTGAAGTCTTTGTTACATCCTGTTCACAGTACCATAATAATTTCAAATAGAAAATGATATTGGAGATTTCTGAAGTAGGATTATAGTACTATTGAATCCCTACCCAGCTACCTCCTCTGTGAAGCTGAGCCTCTCCTGTCAGTAGTAATCTTTTCCCCCTGGTCCTCCTGTAGTACTTTGTTTTATGCCTCTCTACTGCATTTAACATGTGATATTATGTACTGTATCTCATATCCCTCTCAAATTGTAAATTTCATGAAGAGAAAGATGGCTTTTTATACAAACTTTGCATATCTCAGTGCCTGGGAAAGTTCTTGGCTCTTTTCTGGAAAAACTCAAATTGATATAATCAAGTTTGTGTTCCCTCTAGTCAATCAGTAAACTTTTATTAAGCTTCTACTATATGCCAGGCACGGTGCTAAGCACTGGGGATACAAAGAGAGTCAAAAGATAGCCTGTCTCTTAAGGAACTCACAGTCTAATAGGTGAGACAATATGAAAACAATGATGTACAAACAAGATATCAACAGGATAAACTGGAGATAATCGATAGAGAGAACACATTAAAGGGAATTAGGGAAGGCTTTTGTTAGAAGGTGGGATTTTAGCTGGGTCATGAAGGAAGCTAGAAGACAGACTCGAGGAGTGAGAAAGTTCCAGATTTTGGGGACAGTCAGTGAAAAAGCAGAGTTGGTAGATGGAGTGTCTTGTTGGAATAATAGCAAGGAGGCCTTTGTCACTGCATCAAAGACTGCATGATGCAAATCACTGCCATCCTGCTTACTTTTGTCCCTATATTCACATAAATTTGCTGTAGGGGGATCCACCCAACATTCTAGGGGCTTCCTCACATTTTCATGATATTGCATGAGCTGAGCTGTTAACCTGTTATCTCTGACTCTCACCTTGTGGACAGCTCACTTTCTTTTTCATTTATACAATGCCTCTGTGATATCACTCACCATGTACCTCTCCATTGCCCTCTGTGTGATACTCATTTTTTTTAGTTCTTGAGAGGCTACAGTGTTCTGTGACACACATCCATAACCTAACATAACACCAGTAGAATATTGGTATTAAAAAATTATTCTTTATTTCTGGGAGTTTGGAGTCATTAAGTGAGCTTTGCAATTTGTTGAAAGCAGTCTAGCCTTATCTCCTATCAAATTTTGGACCTATCTTGTCCATTTGTACTGTCTCACACACACTCACACACCCTCTCTTTCTCTGTCTCTCTGTCTCTCTGTCTCTTTCTCCCTGATGGACAAATTCTTTAGGTCTTTTAGCTATCTAGATGTCCTAATTTGTGAAATAGACCTTCTTTTTCCACTGGGTTTTTCCTGTGTAAGTGGTTAGGCCAAATTTTGGAGTGGTTGCTGATCTCTTGTATTTGCTACATCTTTTAGTCATTTGTGTGATAGTAAAAATCTGGGTTGCTTTACAGTATTGCTTAGGAAAGCTTGACTGTTGTCCACTAATACCCTTTTAGACAGTACCCTTGATGATTCTGATTCTCATAGAAAATTTATGTAAATGGGAAAATAGTACGTAGTAGTAGATGTTTTCTCAGTAGCCTTTTGGGGGTGGGGGGTGCAAATTAATAAGGTCTGAGGTTTTTTTCTACACCTTTAGTATCTTTCCTTTCTTCAGATAACCTTGTAAATTGATTTTATAATGTCTTCATAATTGGGTTACCTCTGTCATAGATTTTACCTTTAGTCTGATGCAGCTGGTTTTTCTGTCTTTGTTTTCTTTAGTGCCATCTCCAGTTTCTCTAAGCGCATCTAGGATTGTGACATTAGAAGAGAGGCTGTATTCAATTGTAAAAATAATTTATTTTAGTAATCTTTGGAGGTTGTTTCTGTTTTCTTTTCTTCATTATCCTCCATCTATTTTCATCCTTGAATGTACTTGAAAGGACTGCTTAATTAGATTTCTCTGAAAGCTTTATTAAAGCTGATTTTACAGAGGAGTACAGTCTAAAGTAGCGGTGCCTTTGGCTACCATATCTTTGCACTTGGCAAATAAGTCAACTTTGCAGACTAAAGCACTTTTAAAATTCTTTTGGTTTCATTTTTTTGGTCCATGATTTACACTGACATGAAATTATTATAATCTGGGCCTTTTCTTCTGTTCATTACTCGGTTTTTAATATCAATCAGTTGTTTGCATCATGTCCATTGCCCACCTTATTTCCTTCTCACTTTAAACTTATAGCTTTGAATTTTTTTGAAATGAGTTAGTGGAGATAGCTGATTTATCAGTGATGAGTCATATTCTGTTTGTTAAAATATAATCAGTTTCACATTAATGATATTATTTTCATGACCAATACCTGCCAGTTCTTTTTTTTTGTTGTTGTTGTTGTTGTTTTGGTTTTTGTGTGAGGCAATCGGGGTTCAGTGACTTGCCCAGGGTCACACAGCTAGTAAATGTCAAGTGTCTGAGGCTGGATTTGAACTCAGGTCCTCCTGACTCCAAGGCCGAAGCTCTATCCACTGCGCCACCTAGCTGCCCCCTGCCAGTTCTTTTCTTGAAGAAAATATTAATGTATGTACTTAGGAGACTTCTGTATAGCCTCCAGGTCTTAGTCTCTGTCATTCCTTTGTTCCTCATTCATTTTTTCCAGTTTATTTTCATTGTCACGTATTCCTGTGTTTGCAGTGAAGTTGCCAGGTAGAAGAGTACGTGTTGATTAAATTTGAAGGGTCTTATCAAATTTTCTGTAGAGTTTCTCTATCTCTTTATCTTTTGTAATAGCTATTAGGCTGTAGTTATTTTTATAGTGGTTGTTTTGCAAATACTAATGAGTACTGCTTTTCGAGATGACCAAATATCCCATAAGATGTTTCTTACTGCCTTTAAGTACATAATCTAACAAATCTGCCAGTTCCTTCATTTCCCTTTCCAAGAGAACCCGTGAGTCATTTTTCCATTTAGCTGTAACTTATTTTTTTCTTCTGGTTTACTGATAACTTAAATGTCAAAATTGATGTGATTCAGTTGCTAAAATAGCATGCCTATTTGTTGATCATTGGAGAAAGATGTGACATTTAGAATGCCAGTAACTAAGTCAAAGTTTATATGTGGCCTAAAATCTGCAATTCTTATCACCATCTAGCATTATGCCTGCAAAAACAGAAGTGGTCTTGTAGTACTGAGGGCCATTTTGTGTTTATTTTTATTTCATGAATTGCCATAACCAACGACTTAAGAGATTTCAAGGGGAGAGCTTCCTGGGGAAGAGCCTCTTCATACTTATTTAGGCTCCTTGGAAGTCAGATTAGTGCCATTGCCACACTTGAAGCCTTTCTAGTGTATTGGAAGCTGCCCAGACTTGTGCTCGGCTGGGCTGGCCTGGCCCGGCCTTTGAGAAACCACGATCACCTTCCACACCAGGATGAAGCATCAAACTAAGACTTTGTGCCTGTGCTCATAGTAGGCACTTAATAATTGTGGAAAGCAGAAAAGAAAGTAGGCTGGCATCTATTTGTTCATTAATTAAGCCTCATGATTGTGATTTTATATGGATTTGATTTATTTAGTTTCTTCCACACTTCATAGCAGGTAAAGTTACCCTCTAAAAATATGCTGTTAGGTTCAAAATGTTTAATTAATAGTCTTGTTTAATTTTTTTCCTAACTACTATGTTCTTTGTTTTAAATAGCTTGCTCTATCTAGTGATAAGATTGCCACATTGCAAGTGCTACTTCTGAACCTTGATCTAGATGTAAAGGAAAATGGTGACATTAAACAGTATGCTGTTGAAATGAATAAAGAAGAACTGCAGAATTTAATAAATTCGTTGGAAGCAGCTAATAAGGTATTGTCATGTTATTGAACAGTTTTGTGTTTAAGTTTGTATGTGTGTTTTAATCTTCAGGGCTTTATTATCCTTAGAGCTGCATGAGTAAAATATGAATTGGTGTTTATATGTATCTGTGCCTGTGTTTTGCTGTGGTGGAGACTCCACCTTCTGGCTTCCCTGACTTCCTTCCAGTCCTAGTTAAAATCCTACTTCCTGATCCCCCTTAACAATAGTGCCTTCCTTCTATTAGTTATCTCCATTTTTGTCTATGTCTTATTTACCCATAGTTGTTTGCATGTCTCCCCCCCTAGACTGTGAGCTCCTTGAGGGCAGGGGCCATTCTTTTTCGTTTCTTTGTATCCCCATCACGTAACCCAGCGCATGAAACAAAGTAGGCACTGAATCAGTGTTTATTGATTTGATTTGACTTTGTGGCTAATAGTGTAGAAAAGCAGAGACTAATGTCTGTGATATGGAATAAAGGTGGTAGGGTGGAATGAAAGGGATATTGGAGTCAAGACCTGGTGATCTGGTGGAGTCATTTCATTTTGGGGGGCTTAGTTTCCTCATCTGTCAGTGAGAAGGGGTTGGACTAGATTTGCTCGTCGGGTCCTCCCAGTCTTAACATTCTGTGTTTTCAGTTTGGAACCACAGGGTTTCTAGGCAGGCCACAGAATGAGTTCAACAGCAGTGATTTGACAAGTGAAACTGTCTAGCTTTGCTCATCAACCCAGTCCCTTAAGTGAATGACATATGTCAATTATCAGTCATGATAGTAGAATAACATAGTTCTTCGTATTTTTTTCCCCATCTTTTAAAAAGCATTTCATTTTAGCATTATAACAACATCCCATTATGAGACAACCTGACTTTTTCCTTCAATTTGTCTTTTAAGGTCATCTTGCAGTTGAAGTGACTGGAAATGATGGATATCAGAATCATCGGCCTCTTGCTACTACAACTGAGATGGCAGCAAGAAAAGAGTGTGCTCAGAGAACCAGGGGATACATGGATGTAGTATGCTGATCTGAGCAAGCAACAGTATCTGAGATTAGAAAGATGAAAGTATCTACTTGGTTAGGAAAAGTTACTATGGTTGGTGTGAAAAGCATAAAAAAAGTAAATATGAAAAAACATAATAGCATTTTATATTTTTTAAGACTTGTTTTATGTAGCCTTTTGTAGAGAAATCTTTAGAAACATCTGTTTAGAAAAATGCCCTGCTGTGTGTACTAAATACATCAGGTTAGTGTAAACATTCTAAGCACAAATATGTCCCATTTTTTAAAAAGTTTGTAAATACTAGTGCCATAAGTGATGGATTAGTAATTTTAAATGTGTTTTAAACCTAATTTTAAAACATTGCCATACTCCTCATGTATATGTTTATATCTATGTATGTGTACACATATATACATACACATTATGTATCTGCTCACATATACATCGATATACATATATATGGTTTATGAATTGTTTTAAAAAGTATTTCAGAAACAAATTTATAATGTCATCTAGCATTTAATGATTCTATTATTCACAAACTTTAAATCTATATACACATAGGTGCACATTTTTATAGAACCCCAGAGAGAGAAAGGAACCTTAGCTGAACAAGATTCTCCTCTACAATATATTTGACAAGGGAACATCAAGCTTTTGTTTGAAGACCTCTGATGCGGGGGATCCTCTGACCCCAGAGACAGGCCATTCCCCTTTGGACTGCCCGAGTTGTTCAGAAATCCTATTCATTGACTTGAAATCTGCCTTTGTGACATCCACCGTTAACTCCTAATTTTTCACTCCAGCTCAGCAGGACAAGAACTGGAGACTTTAAAGGTTATCAGTTTCCTTCTGAAATTGTAGAACCCAGAACTGAGCACAGTATTACAGATATGGCCTGAGAAGTCTGGAGTCACTGTGGCACAGTCACCTTCCCCTCTGCTTCTTGGTGCCACGTAGGAGGACCGCATTAGCTTTTTGGCTGTCATATCCCACTTGATTCCTATAGAACTTGCTTCAGTCCCAGCTCTTTCTCAGACTAGTTTCTCTCTAGTCATGGTTCCCCCGTTTTGTATTTGTGGAGATGAGTTTTTGAACCTAAGTATAAGACTTAATATTTAATGCTATTAAATTTCATCTAATTGGATTCAACCCTGTGGTCTAAGCCTGCCAGGATCTGGATTCTAACTTTGTCATCCAACATGCCAGCCATGTCCCCCAGCTTTCTCTTGAATCAGCTGCCTGGACGAGCATGTATTTCCAGGCTTATCGTACTTGACTCATTTTCACACGTTCTGTAGTCCAGCCAAATCAGCCTCTTTGCTGTCCTCACATTTCATCTCCTGTCTCCTTGCCTTTGCACAGGCAGTCCTGCATACCAGACATGGATTCCCTCCTCACTTCTGCCTCTCATCTAATCCCTTTTTCCTTCTAAATCCATGTCAGATGTCTTCTACACGAGGCTGTTTATGATACCCTTAGCTGCTGGTTGCCCAATGTTGACTTTGCCTTGTATTTATTTTGTATATCCTTGTGTACTTTGTATATATGTGTACATCTATATTCCTTGACAAATGTAAGTTCCTAAAGGGCAAGGGGCTGTTTTATTTTTGTCTTTGTATCCCCATTGTCTAGTATATTGCCTGGCAAACTCATAGGTGCTTAAAAGTAATAATAATGATGACTATAGCAAGCATTTATATTGTGTCTTCTGTGTGCCAGGCACATAGTGAAAAAAAAAAAAGCACATGGTAAAAGCACTTTACAAATATTATCTTATTGGACTCTTACAACCACCCTGCAAGGTAGGTGTTATTATTATCTCCATTTTACAGTTGGGGAAACTGAGGCAGACAGAACTTAAGGGACTTGCCTAGGATCATACAGTTAAAAAGTGTCTGAAGCTGGATTTGATTTCAGGTTTGTAGATGTAGAGCCAAAAGGGACCTTAGAGGCCCAATCGATTAGCCTCTTCATGTTTTAGATGAGTGACTTTAAGGTGAAGAGTTGACTTGCTCCAAGTCACAGTGAGAAGTGGTAGGTGACCCTGGTGCACTTCCCACTGTACCACATTGCCTTTCTCTACGTATAGAAGAGTCCACATATGTGCCAAATGAAACCAAATGGGAATTCTGTTGGGAAAGTTTGTTAAACTCAAATGAAGAAAATACTTAAGGTATCTTTTTGGTGTGAAATACCTGAGATTGGCAGCTCTAGATGTATTATCTCAGGTACAGTCTGGCAATAAGAATAAAAGGATTCAGTATCTGTACTGTTTGGAGGACAGATGATATTGTAACTTTTGGCAAGGTGAATATGTGCTTTGTTAATTTTCACATTTTAGCAAATAATTTTGAATAGGGACCATCTTATAGAAAAATCAGTTTATACCAGTTGTAATCTCTTACAAACAACATGCTAAACAAGAGTGAAATATTTTATATTTGCATAGCTTTAGCAGTTTACAAAGTGCTTTCGTACTCAGCACTATACCATGTTGCTTTCTACAATGTTATATTAAATTTGTATAGTGCTTCATAGTTTAAAAAACCTTTTTTTGTAAACATCTCATTTGGTCCTTATGATAGCTTTGTGATATAGGTACGACAGTTATTATCCCAATTTTACAGATAAGGAATAGTCATTTGACTAGAACTTTGGTTTAATCAGCCCAGTGTTCCAGGTTAGGACAGATTGTGCTCCAAATATTATTTTATAAATTATGTGGAACTCTGCATTTTCCTATTGAGGCGGTGTTAGATTCCCATGCCAACTTCCCCAAAGCTATTTTCATCCATAATGTAATTTAACTATGATATTAATGGTACTCGCTTGAGTTCTGCTCCTGAGAGAAGTGGGTCATTTGGTGTAGGAACGAGGGTGGAAAAACATAACTTCCTTTAATTTTTTTCCTATTGTAAGACCGGCCTCACCAGAATTTTTGAAAACAAAGTTTATCTTCCATTTTTAAATACCTTTTCACCGGCCTCCCGCCTCCTTGTGCGCCTCTCCCCGGGCGTCCGGGTCACCTCAGCTTCCCTGAGCCTCGCGGTCCAGAATACTCGCTCTGAGAGGCAGGGCACGTGAGACGCCTTCTCCCCTCGTGGAACAACAGGATCTTAGAGGCTATTGAGTTCAAATCCCTCATTTATCATGAAGATGAAGTGACTTACTGAAGCCTCGCAGAAGGTAGCGGGAAGAGTGCGTGACGTGGGGTCGGTGGGTACTCGGTTCAGACTCCGCCTCTGACGCTCGCCGTTTCAGCCACCAGCAGCCCGCTCGCAGCGGAAACCTGTGATCGAGGCTGGCAGTCAAGGTGGGCGGTGTATCCAGAGACTGCTGATGAGCCCTGCCCTCCCGCCCTTCGGCGGGGTCAAGGAACTCAAGATACACAAAACAGATGCGCGTCCTCAGACCTGGCCAGGGTGCTGATTTTTTCGATAGACAGGACGTATTTGTTACAAGGGAAGATGGGGATGGCGTGATAATGGGTAGGGATAGACCTGGAAAAAGAGGGAAAAAAAAACCAGGGTCGTGGGTCCAGTGCTCAAACGGACCTCAGAGGCCATCGAGCTCCCATTCTCCCTCCCTGATGTCATCTTACAGATGAAGAAACAGTTCCTTGCCCGGGAACCCAAGTCCTCTGACTTCAGAACCAGTGACCCTTCCATTTTTAATTTCTTTAATAGTAAATAAAACAAAGGGCTTAGGAGGACACTACTTTTGTTAACTATCCAGTTCAATATAGAATAATTCCTAAGGGGAAAAACCCTTCATAACAGACTTACACTTTGTATAGAGGCAACTGAATGGTGTGGTCGGTGGAGTTCTGGCCCTGTAGTCAGGAAGACCTGAGTTCAGTCAGCTTCAGATACTAGCTTGAGCCTGGACAAGTCAGTTATAATCTCTGACTGCCTGTTTCCTCAACTATAAAGTAGTAATAATACCACTTACCTTTCAGGGTTGTTGTGAGGATTAAATGGGATGTTTGTAAAGAACTTAGCACTGGCACATAACAGGCACTAAATTCTTGTTTCGTTCCTTCCATCTTATGCAGACCTCTTGTTCTTTTGTGTATTGAAATGTGCAATAATTGTTTTAAAGACACATGATGGGGAAAAAAAAAACCCAAACCAGTAAAATGAGGAAATGAAAACCTAGCCTCATGGGATTACTGTGACAATCAAAGAGATAATCTAAACACTTTATAACTATTTCCTTCACTGATTGAGATCTCTTGCCCGCTAATATGTAGTAGATGATCTTCAAGGGTTGCTCTGACTGAAATTTAGCGAGACTGGTCCTTAGATGCTGGACTGACAGCCTGTCACTACACTTATCACGGATGGCCCTCTTAGGGTTCATACTCCCCCAGCAAAGCCATTGAGAACTTCACACCATGAATGAAGCACTAGAGCAGGACTGAATTGTAATCCACTTAAAATTCAAGTAAACACTTTGTTTTCATTGACAGCCCTCAGATTCCTGTTGAATATACTGTTGTCTTGTTTCCTTTGCTTTCAGACAGCTTTAATAACTCCCTGAGCAGGGAGTCTTTACAATCATGACACCTTTCTCTAATGCTGTCCTAATTTTCTCAGCTTTTCCTGAGGCTCTGAGGCCAGTGTTATTTCCTTCCTCCTTCCCGCAACATGGCAGGTACACTGTCTTCCTAAATGTGCCAATTGCCATGGTTCTTTTAAGGAAATTCTAAATGAGTTAGACAATTTTATCCCTGAATTCATAAACTCAAACCTAGTAACTTCAGCATTCATTTTCCTTTATGATGGCTGATCATTTGTTAGCTTAAGCAAGACAAGTGGGACAGGAAGGGAATAGCGGGTGGTGGAGAGAAGTAGGTGAGGAAGGGGGTGAAAGTGGGTATTTCAGTAAGGAGGAAAAGGAGATACTAAAAAGAGAAAAAAGGAAGAGCACATGGGCCCATAGCACTAGACGTTCAAAAGTGATCACCATGTAGAAACCCAAAAGTCTGATAATTCCACTGTCTAGCATCCTCTTAGCATTTATGTAGTAATGTTGAACTTAATGATAAATGGTTTTGAATTTTTTGTCCACAGTCATTTCAACATGATTGGCCTCTTCTTTAGGTCAGGAACAATTTCTGATATGCGCCTTGACGGTTTTCTCTGTTTTATACATAATGTCATGCCCTCTGGGGTAAATGTTCCATGCTGAATAAATTAATGAAATAGTTATGTTTATATTATTTGGAACACTTGTCAGGTCCAATATAAAGGGGTGTGTGTATATGTGTGTGTGTGTGTGTGTGTGTGTTTTCCTCTGCAGTGAGAATGCCTGCTTTCATCCCTTTTTTTAAAAAAAAAATTTGGTTTGGACCTGTGATTTCATTGGCATGTGGAACTCCCAGTGAGGAAAACCCTTTTACCAATGCAGATCAATAACCACTCTTCAAACTATCGTCTTGCAGAGAGGCCTGGGAGAAACATGTAACATTTTTTTCATACCTCATCTCACTTTAAAACTCAGTAATCACTCCTTTTACTAGTCCTGGCATACCTTTTTTTTTCTTTCTTTCTGGCATACCCTTTTATAAACTCAATTTCTTTATCCAGCACGTTCATTTGCAGTTAACAAATGTTTGCCGAGATACCAGAATCTATCTGCCAAGTGAAGCATAGAAGTATTTGTACAACTGATCTCCAATCACCTTGATGAGCTATTTTTTGAACCACAAATGAGCCCACACCTTTTGTATGTTCATCATTTTATTATCAACACAATTTTGAAGGTAGGGAGCAGAGCGTGGGTGAGGAGCAAAGGGGGGAGAAGGCGGTGTGGGTAGAATCAGGAGACTGAATGATAAACAGGTCAACCTCTGATACTCATATTTACAGTGGAATGTGAACAAGTTGGATAAATGGACACATCGGTTTTGCACATCATTTTGAGTACAAGACAATTCCATTGACTTTTTTTTCTTTTATAATATATAAATATATGCGTGTTCTAAAGGAGAATCCAGATGCTTGGAAGGTTTGTGGCTTAAGAAGATTTAGAAAAGCCAAGGTGAAAGAGCAGAACTAAGTTCCTGGAAACTATGCTGGTATCTTTAGTTTTCCAATTGTTGGAGGAGAACGCAAAGAATTATTTCCAAATCAAGGGGTTTGCTTTGTCTTGCATTTTACAACAAAAGTTAACGAATGATAGATTCAGATTTCTACAACTGCTGAAAGACAACAGACTATAAAAAGATTCCTGAAAGCTTGCATGTTTTCAACTGCAGTACAAAGTAAGCTTTTCAAATGTAAGCGTTTTTTAAAAAATAAAAAAAAACAATGTTTTATTTGTGTTTTTAGGATAAACAAGCTAACATAAAGTTTACATATTTACAGCAAATTCTACATTTCAAAAGCTGCACATAGGGTTTGGGAATACTGCTGATGGTTTTGACACTAGTCTTCAGAAGCTTTCCATTCATTCATTTACTGCAGCATATAACACCTCATGATAGGAAAGCAAAGGAAACAACACCTTACACTAGGGTGAAACCACAAGACCCGGGAAAGAAATATTGACTGAACGACAGTTCTGTGACTGCTAAAATAGCTCTATGTCCTCAAGTCAATCGTACGAGCATTTCTTGTGTCCATACCTGATTGTATGTCAGGTTGATTGTAATTTGAACAAGACACAAAATTGTGTGAATGACAA